TCAGTTTTATGACGGTGGGCTTCAGTTTTTCACACAATACGCTTGATAGAACCTTATATGCGATGTTAAGAAGGTTTATTCCACGGTAATTGGCGCATACTGTGGAATCGCCTTTTTGGTGGGTTGGCCAGAGCACACTTAAGCTCCAATCTTCGGACATGCTTTCCTCTGACCATATTCCTCAGCTGCTTGCTTCATCTCTTCACCACCAAGTTGTTGTTTTTTTAGTAGGCGATTGCTATTCGAACTCCTTCTTCGTCATCGGGTTAACCATCTCCAGGTACACAATTTTCACTGGTATTTAACATGATGGAGAAGTGTTTCCTCCAAAATTTCAATATTCAGTGACGCCGATGCCCGGTGCTAAGTGACGCATTCGGGTCCTATAGGAGTTTAGTTCGGTCGTGAAACCTTATGTAAGTGATCGTATCTTCTGACAGAGCTTCTCAAACTTTTCATACTAATGCATTTCGGCATCTTTATTTCTTGTCTGTACAAGTACTGATTCCCTCTGCAACGTTGCGAGGTAAGCAGTCTTTTTTCTCTTCTCTGCGACACTTCAGCCCTCATCGTACCAGCTGTTTTTGCAACCTTTACGAAATCCAGTAATTTCGTTTCCAGTTGTATGTAGGGAGATTGAAATGCTGTTCCAAATTTCTTGTAAACCGAGTTGCTGATAAGTGCTTTCAGAAAGCAGGAGTGCAAGTCGAGTAGAAAATCGTTCGGTAGTCTGTTGTGATTACAGCCTTGCGACGTCGAATCTTTATTGTGTTTGTCAACGGGCGTTCTTCAAAAACACTATAACAATACAATCTAACTGGTTTTACGTTTTTCGATCAGGGGGCAGCCAAGTAGCTTGGTTTATTTTTTCTAGTACCACAGATAACAATATAGCATCACTGCATGTTTGACGGTGGCAAAAGCTTTTGGAAACACTAACAGGAATGTTCGCGCGCAGGAACGGTTTTGGTTAAGGCCATTGACTATCTTCGTATTTTTGGCGTAATGTGCTGTTGTGGTTCGTCCACTTTGCGGAAGCCATGCTGAAGTGCTCCTGGACTCAGATGTTGAGTGAATGTCCTGAGCAGTCTGTCTGGACAGACAAAGGATTTGGCCGATAAGTGTCTCCTTTGTTGACTGATTTCCCCGGCATGAATAGCGGGAATACACTGCCCATATTCCAAACGTCGGGAGTCCTTGTGGTGTTCAAAGACAAATTGAGGACCATGGTGAGTAAGTCTGCTACCGCTGCTCCTATATGCTTTAGCTTTCGTCTTCTCGATGACTCCCTGAACCTCTTCCCTGGAGAAATCAAGCGCTGTACCAGTGTTTGTTGCTTCATTTTGCCAACCGAAGACACCAATTTGTCTGTAGTCCAAAGCTTGGTTGTCACAGAGGCAAGGCTGCATAATTACACCATTTCCGTTATTCGACCAGGGATGAAGCGGGCGGCAGCCGTCACGACAATCCTGCGGAATAAACGTTTCTCGGCAGTGCTTTCTGACTGGCGTTCTCAGTAAATTCCGAGAAGCTGGAACAGTTAAATTTTTTAAAGTTAAAAAATGCCTGGTGGTTCGCGGAAGTAGTCTCGGGACGTCTGTCAATTGATATCTGTATGCGTAAGTGATCAAATGCCAGTATCAGTATAGTGTTTGTTTGTCTATTTCCTTAGTTTTGCCTAATATTCCTTTCAACCCAAGCGTTGGCAATAACATCTGTCGGCAAATAGTTGCATAATTTGAAGCCATGGATTGATGGCATGGTTGCACTCGGTGTGTGGATACCCAGTGGTATAAGTCTCCAAAAGGAGGTGTTCCCCAAAACGGTTCCTCCACTAACAAATATTAGGGTCACCTTTTTTTTTAATGCGGCGAGAGAAAAATTATCCCAGTGTACTTGGAATGCCATGGTGGCGTGCGCTATACAATCCGGTCCCTTTGGATAATGGGGCGACGCCAAGAGATTGGGCACAAATATACAATTGCAGAAGAGTTTTAAAAGCAGACGTGAAGCTTGCGGCCTGGCTCGTAAGTGCGTGCCGGATCATATTCTGGCAATCTTCAGAAGCAGAAACATTATTTTCGAGCAAACGAGAGTTTTGAGAGAAAAAAAATATAAATTGCCAGGTGAGGGAAGTGGTAGTGTAAGGCAGTTGAAGCCTAGTGTGGAACAGGGAAAATAGGTTTTGGGGACTCTAGTGGCGGAACCGGAATCAGGAGGCATCACCGGAAGAGTACCGAAGTTGGGTACCTACACCCGACCGAGAAACCTATAAGTATATTTTTTTTGTTGTACACTTTTGACGTGCCAACAGTGTCGTTTCCTTCTTTCTTCCCGACCCATTCTTATAGCATCTCGCACTCCGAGCACGGTAAGTGTACATGTAAATTGAGGTTTGCTCTGGTATTAAATTATTGTTGTGCGATTTTCATTTGTTTAAGTCAGCGTTTTTCTTTCACTTGGTTTTGTTAATAGTCATTGCTCTTATACTTAGCTGTGGACCCACGCCGTCTTCACTAAGCTGGCCGGTCGCTTTGCTAGTTTTGTCATCTCCATTTTGTGCGGCAGTTTGTTTTGACGAGTGTAGTTGTTAGTAGGCCGCTGTAGGAATACTTATGTATGTACGTATGTACATTCGCCCATACATGTTGTAATAGTAAAAAGTGAAGGTGACAAGGCTTATATATAACTGGGCAACTTGTAACATGAGGAATGTATTTATTAAACATTTGGAGCTCGACATCGCCTGACCGGATAGCTATGCCCTGCCATTCTATGGTAGTAACTCTGCGGTCGATGTCGCCGTCGTCAAGATGATACCGCGCAGTGTCGTGTAAGATGAACGCTAAGCCCCTCCATGGACAGATTTTCCCGGCTCATATAGTCCACCATCTCATCAGTATTTCCCTGAAGTCCGTTACAATTTAATATTAACAGTCGTGTCTGGCTCGGGCGGACGTTCTTGATATGGGTGGTGAGGCAGTGATGTGTGGATGTAAAATGCTGATACTGTATTACCCACAAAACTTGGTGCCGCACGATGGTACTGGTTGGCGGCGTTGTTGTAGAGATAGGCAGGGACAGACTTCCACAGCATGGGGCAACGCATGCATCACTCCCCTCACGGGTGGTGCGCAGGCCGGGCATGTCCGAAAATTTCACCTACGCAGGAGTCACGTGCGTGATGTTCTGTTCCGGCGCACTTTTGGTTTAGGAGCTACTGGGTAGCCCTCGCACAGGATGAGGAAGAGAAGTTGGTTGTGAGTAAGGGTGTGGATTGGTGGGAGTCATACAACGGAGTGCTCCGTCAGACAGAAGAGGTCCGCTGGTTTCCCAAATTGGGTAAAGGTGCTGAAGGCACTTCGGTGGAGGCTGGTCATTGGTCCTAAGGCCTGAACAGACCTTAAAATGAGTATATTATGGCACACGCAGTAGAACTAACCCGTCGGACCACGGATTAATACTGTTTTACATTTATAATTAGTATTAGTTAAACATTTATATTTATATATATATAATTGGCCCTTTGTAACCGCAATTTGTAGTTTGGCGTCTTGATGTTTTTCCAACAAATGGAGGGACTTATAGTTTATACTATGCCGTGCTTTTGAGAAGCCTTTATTTCATGTCAAAAATTATATTTTTGCAAATAAAGGATAAAAAAAATGAATTAAAGTGCCTAGAATTTCTTTTCCCGGAGTTAAAAATATTTTCATAACTCAAGTTCATCATCATATAACTCGTACAGTTTATCGTTCGAACTCGGTGTTGCCTTTGCACAAAGGACCATAAATCTTACGCAAACCTTTCTCTCGAAAACTCCTAACGCCTACTCATCAGATGTTGTCGTCGCCAATGCTTCCGCACCATATAGCAGGTCGGGAATAATGAGGGACTTGTAGAGTTTGGTTTTCGTTCCTTGGGAGAGGAATTCCAATTCAGTCCAAAGTGGCACCTGTTATCAAGAGTGATTTCGCGTTGGATTTCCAGGCGACATTAAAATTTTGACTGTGAAGTGGGAGCCAAGTTGCGACTGGGATTGTATCTTTTCGACTTCCAGAATCAAGCTTAGAAAGCTTGTTTGGTATCGAACGGCTCGTATATATATACAATATATACAAATTAGCGTTAGTATATACGTACATATACCTAGACCGCACAAAGAGGAAGTTTACAAAACAATCTAACAAAGCGACCGGTCAGCTTAGTGAAGACGGCGTGGGTCGCTAGTTACGTATACAAACTAAATCAAAATTTGAGAAAAACAAAACCAGCCGGAATTCACTCACAATATAAACACAAGAGGAGCGCACGGAACAGTAAAAAATCAAACAACGATAAGAAAAAAAAGGTTAGAGTATCTCAATTAAAAATGTGCACGATCCTTAAACGTTGGGATATCCATTTTCACTGTTTTTGGGATAACACGGCTTATTTAAACATTAAATGTATGCATGAAACACTAATGTTAACATTTTTCATTTTTTTATGTAAATGGAAAGTTAAGCAAGTTGTATTTCCGTTAACAATAAAACGAAATTCACTTTATACGAACATTTATTTATGCATTGCTACCCTGATGCTCGTATTCTACATTTTTTATCTTAAACTTAATAAATTGTATTTAATTTATTATTGGGAATCGCTTGAGCTATAATTGAAACTGTTTGGAACTGGGGAAAAGCTGAATTTTGCAGTAGTTTTTATTATTATTAACGTTTATAGTTGCATTAAAATTACTAACACACATATTACATACATATACATGGTTAAATTTTTTTTGACATACTGTGATAGAAATGTATAAAAGTGGAATCTGTGGGTCCGGTGCAGTTTATTTTTCGTAAACCGAAAAAGAACGAAAATGAATAACATTGATATATTTAAAATACCCGCAGTCTATGCCCACCATAAAGATAAACTAGCTTTTAGCGAACAGCCTGTTTTTTGGCTTGGCAACTCTGCCTATAGGAGGGATCTACAACTTATGCCAACCAGACACAATCGAAATGCTTGCGGGTTATGTTCAATTGCTTGTTTCAGAACAACGAAAATATTGACAAACATACGAACTTTTACTTTTGCAAGGAGGCCGGCATGTTAAGATTAATAGTATAAATATTTTCGGCTTACCCTAATAATTAGCATAATCAGCTTTTGGCAATGAAAATCAGAAAGTCATGCAATTGCCATAAGAAAAGACTTGATGACTTTTACTTCCGTCAAACACGATCGAGAAGGAGAGAATCAGCAGCCACCAAACATAATCCAAGGAGGTAATCTCAAATATTTGTAAATATATATCCATATCTTTGTACATTATACTAGGTCAAGTAAAAAGTTCATTCGGTTTTAATCTAAGAGATGGTGTTATTGTCCATAGTACGTGTTATACTATATGGCGCTGAAAACGTGTTTATTCGTGCTAAAAGTTTGTCTTTGACAGTTTTTCGATTTGTGACGTTGTGAGCGCTCGTCAAAGATGGACACCAGCAAAGAGAAAACTCGCTATATTTCACAATATTTCTTCGATCAAGGCCAGAAAGCAGCCAAAGCGGCTTAAAAAATTAATTTAACTTAATTTACTCTAAACGATTATGTAGAACATAAGTTTCGGTAATTTCGATGTCAAAGATGCACCACGCGTCGGAAGGTCTGTCATCGAAAATTACGACAAAATCATGGAAATAGTGGAAACAGACCGTCAGGAGAGCACTTATTTAATTGAAGAGGATCTAAGGATAAACCATAAAACCATTTAGAACCGTTTGTATAATCTTGAATCCAAAAGGAAGCTAGATGTTTGGGTGCCACACGAACTAACGCAAAAACATGATGGACCGAATTTCCATGTGCGAATCGTTGCTGAATCGCAACAAAATCGATCCGTTTCTGAAGCGGATTGTGACTGGTGGCGAAAAATGGATCACTTACGACAACATCGAGCGCAAACAGTCGTGGTCAAAGCTCGGGGAAGCGTCCCAGACGGTGGCCAAGACCAGATTGATGGCCAGGAAGGTTTTGCTGTGTGTTTGGTAGGATTGGCAAGGAATCATCCACTGCAAACTGCTCCCCTATGGCCAAATGGACCGCTTGAAGGCAGCACTCATCCAGAAGAGGCCATCTATGATCAACAGATGATGGTGAAATTGAAGAAGGGAACTGTCCAGCATCTCATCGAACGCTATTTTCGTGAAAGTCATGTGTTAAATAAAACTTAAACTGCTCATAATAAAACATAGCGGATGGCATGAATAAGACTGCGCACAATGTTAAAAGTCCAAATTCAAAAAAAAAATTGTTCCTTAAAAAAATGATTTTTTTTTAAATTTTTTTGTTACTGCATCAGTTTCGCTGTGAGGTAAAATTTAATAGTGAAGTTTGTTTTTGTTGCTAATTACATAAAATATAAATATTTCATAGCATAAATGAATTGTGTATGTCTGCCGCCATTAACTGGCATTAAGGTTTTTTTGGAAAATTTATTTAATTTAAAAAAAAAACTTATACTATTTCTTACACAGCTGCATCACTTTGGCTGTGAGCCACTGTATATCCATGGCGCTTTGTAACCGCTTAAACGTTTCCTTTCTTTCCTATCCGTTTCACAGATGAGCACTTGGTCTCCGGATTGTAGTGACGCTTTGTATTGTGTTAGTGCTTTCTTTGCCTCTACCTTTCGCTTTCTTGTCAAACACTTCCTCGGTCGTTTTTCCAATGCTAAATAGAAATTAATACTCCCCCGTATAGCCTCCCTTGCAAAGGTCATGTCATCCTTATATACACCGTAGGATAACCCTACCGTCAAGGCGAGTCCAGTCAATATAGCGTGCGGTTAAGTGCAGAAGAGCCTCTTTCCACTGTTAAGAAAGCTCCGTTATACAATAAGCATTGATCTTATCAGGCCGGGATTAACTGATGGTTCAGCCAAGTTTTCGCACCACGACAAGGTACTACAAAGAAACCTACCTTGTTGTTTTTATTGTGTTTCTAATTTTTACACACCTGGAGGATAGGTATAAGCACCATAGCGCTTCCCAAATTTTCTATCATATGTCACCGCTTTTTCAAAATGAGACAAGACTGTTTCCGAAAGATATTGCGAATTGTTTTCGAAAATGGGTTTGGCTAAAACACGATTAGTCTTTACGCGAAGTGACTTTTAACCCGATCACGTAGGGAGCACCGAATTTGGATCTGTAAGTAATTAAAAACTTTATTGCTTAGCGTACCTAGCGCTATAGAATGAAAATGAAATTAGTGCCGCTTCTTCTTCTTTGTTGGCGTTGGCACCGCTTACACGAATATTGCCGAATCAAAATTAGTGTGCCATTCCTCTGTTTTTTCGCTATCTGTCACTATTTGAAAATACCAAGTGAAACCAGGTTACTTTCCACCGGATCATTCCAACGGAGTGGAGGTCATCTTTCTCTGCTTCCACCAGCGTCTGCATCGTACTGCAGAGTCATTCGGACCACATGAAATGTGCTGTTAGCCCAATGAAATAAAAAAGAACACAATAATACAAACAGGACTAGATATATCGTTGGTTACCCAGGTTCTAAGACCGGAAGTCGTGAGCTGCTTGACCCATATTTCAAAGAATCGGTGAATGACAGTCAAAATCTTTCCTCACTATCGTGAACTTCTACATATGGCCCCACCCCCCGCTGCTGTGATAGGGTTTTTAACTTTTGTTTTTCGATTAAGCTAGATATCTGAAAAAATGTCAAGCAAAATTGGTTAAGCATTACATTTGCCATCGGCTGTCATGGTAATATGGGAAGTAATTAAGAACTACACGCTGAAAAAGAAGGTCAAAATAACACTCAAATTATTTTTATCATTTTACTGGTAAATAATATTAGTTAAGGTTTTTATTGCCGGAAAGCTTTTCTCATATCATTGCCATAAATGTTATTGTACGAGATTTCGCCGACGATTAAAGGCTAGAGATTTCTTGCTCTAATAAATTAAAAAAAAACGTCAAAATAGCGAACATTCTTGAGACAATATGAACGTTACCTTTGAAAACGATTTCCGCATTAACCAAATACTTTATGGAAAAATAATGATATAAGATAATGTAAATACAATTGTAATCTTTGAATATTACATAAAAGTTATTCTTTCTACAGATTATCAATTTATTTGTTGCTGTTATTATGGACAACTTTGACTACTTGACTCGGGATTGGTCAATTCTTGGACCACATCATTTAGATGAATTTATACGCCTTTGGAGTGAATACGATCCAGACGCAAAAGGTCGAATTAAGCATTTAGATGTTGTTACTCTTTTACGTAAGATTTCACCTCCGTTGGGATTTGGAAAGTTATGTCCACATCGTATGGCGTGTAAAAGACTTGTATCTATGAATATGCCGTTAAACTCTGATGGTACTGTTCTTTTCAACGCAACTCTGTTTGCGGTTGTGCGAACATCGCTAAGTATAAAAACGGATGGTAATATTGATGAAGCTAACGCAGAATTACGCGCTACAATAAAACAGATCTGGAAGCGGACGAATCCTAAGCTTCTAGATCAGGTTGTTCCGCCACCAGGAAATGATGATGAAGTTACAGTTGGTAAATTTTATGCAACATATTTAATTCAAGACTACTTTAGACGCTTTAAGAAACGCAAGGAGCAGGAAGGCAAAGAAGGTCAATCAGAAAACGCTACAATAACGCTACAAGCAGGCCTTCGAACTTTGCATGAAGTATCACCAGCATTGAAACGAGCCATATCTGGAAACCTGGACGAGTTATCTGAGGAACCTGAACCAATGCATAGAGTAAATATATATTTAATAATTATTTTATATTGAATAACTATATGTAACTATTTTTGCTTTACTTAATTATTTCTGTGCTTCTGTAAGTTTCTAGTTAGTTTTCTTTTTTTATTTACTTTAATTGATTTTGCTTTTAACAAGATGTCCAAGATGTCCTGCTCCTTTGAAGAGCAACACAGAGCCAAAATCACCGGCTTAAACGCTCGTGTCATGCATAGGATTCATGATTGCAAGAGCCTTCGCTGAATAAAATTAAGAAAATATGACGTTGACGACTTAAAACTTTTCACAAGGAGTGGTATCCGTAAACTAGGGAGAGGATTTGAACGCCCTTAGCGAAAACTTTCGAAATTATGAGGACGCTTTTAATTTTTTCAGTGCATTTCTTCCAACAATGTTTTTTTAAAAATAACGATAACAAAACCCAGTTGTTTTTGTTTTAAACCCTCCTCGAAATCCTTAAATAAAGACTTGATGACGTTTAATTACTCTTACCCTGGGTAACACAATTTTTCAAGTGCTTTCAGTTGCGTAACAAGGGATACTTCCCACTGCATATGCCCCATCTCATGTTACTATTTTGACTGCACTGGTGAAATAGTTGTGGCCCAGGATCATTTATTTCTTAAGCTTCAGCAAGCTTCTCGACCTCGACCACAGCTAGGTTGAATAAAATGGAGCTGATATTGTCTGTCACCATCTTAATGGCCTTTAGAACCCATTTACTTGTGGCTCCGATAATATCCTAACCAGTGTACTTACATTTTTTGCTGAATTTCTATATATACTATTAACGAACATATTCAATGTTTCCCTTATTTGTGTAAAGTCATAAATTTTGCGTCTATATAAATTTGGTAGTAGATCTTCTATAGAGGATTACAGGCTATGTTCTATCACCAAAATTTTCGGAGTTATTTTATCAGATTAATTAGTCCTTTTGTATCTTTAATTATTGACATCTCACATGGGTTTTGGAAAGAAAAATCTACCCTATCGAACCTGTTATGATACGTTTTTTATTTTAAGCAATTTATTTTATAAATTATATTTTTTTTTTAACGTTAAGGTGACAGCTCTTCACTAAAAAAGTTTGGTTGTAATCTATCTTACCGTTCTGTAGGACATTAAAGGGGCCGCAAGTAAATGTGTTCTTAAGGCCATTAAGATGGTGAAAGACAATATCAACTTTTTAAGTATTTTTTTCCTTCCGGAGAAAATGTGTTCAGGCGGGAAAAGTATTATATACACACTGGCGTAACAAATAAACTGTAATAAAGTTGATTCAGTTCAGTCTTAAGTGTGAAACGATAGTATACTTATGGCTACTGATAGAGTTTGTTTACAGTATTTTATACAAATTTCAACAAGCAATAAATGCTACAAAAGCATTTAGAAATTTATTGAAAGTGTTTGAAGTGTTTCTGATAGGACATGATGGTATGATAAATTAGAAACGGGTGATTTCGACCTTTCTGCAAATCCACGTTCTGGCGAGATCTTTGATCGAGATCCTTTTCTGACAACACCGGAGATCGCAAAGAGGCTTAATTCAGCTCAACAAACCATTTCTGACCATATTCGGAAGATATAATGGGTGTGGAAGTATTTAAGATTCAAATTTGTATTTTGTTTTAGTCTAAAAACAGACAGAACTTTCCGGTAGATCTAATATAATTTCAGGTATCTTAAGATTTATATTGGTTGCGGAAGTCTTTTCACAGAAATTTTATATGGAAAGCCGAAAAAACTACACCACTAAAAGTTAGGTTGGGCCCGTTTTGAAGAAGAAAAGGCGCAATACATATTTTGAAAATCACCGTAACCTAAAGCAGCAATGAATAACTTTACGGGTTCATCTCAGCCCCAATATCTCTCTAGGACTATTCCCGATATAAGTACGACCTCATTTGGTATAAAAGTCTTAACAAAAATGTTAAACGTCTCAACTCATTAATGAAAAAGTTTCAGAGTAACATATCAGCCAATCAGCTTGTTACCTGTTCTTTCCAAACTATTTGCTACCCAAAATTTCTCCTATTTTGTTCGAAAGGGAAACTCTACCAAATCAAGCATTCGATTTTGGCGAATGAAATCAAGAAGGCATTTGTGTTCTTCCGCAATATTTGTAGATGTGGCTCAAGCATTCAATAAAATATGCCACAAAGAGCTATTATACAAAACTAAAATGATTTTGCCGAAAAACTTCCTTTAAATATTCAAATCTTATCTTAGTAATAGTTAAAATAAAGGAGTTTATTTCTCAACCCTTTAAATATCCTTTAAATATTCAAATCTTATCTTAGTAATAGTTAAAATAAAGGAGATTATTTCTCAACCCAATGACACTTCTAACGAATTTAAAGCTGCAAAATCATAGAATATTTTAGCGAACATTTAATCATGGCCACCAAGCCAAAGACGCCATCAAAGACGGATCTGCCAGTCTTTTGGACAGCAATGTTTTACCAGTCGTCTGTTATTACTAATGGACTAAAGCGGTAATTCCTTAGCCATTAAGATTATAAATCTCTCTACTCGTCTATTCTAACTCCTAATGCTCGCTTCGTTGTTCTTATGTAAACTTTATTGCATTGTTTGTCGTGTTATTGTTCATTGCTTATTTTGTCTTTCGTTTTTGTTGAGTGTGCGATGTGGTCGGTGCGCAAGAGTTATTAGGAGTATTATCTTGACCTTGCATAACCATGACACGGTGCACGGATTGCAGAAATATCCAATCTGTGCAATATCCAACAACAAAACACATGCTAACCCGTATTTGTTTTCTTGCAATGAAGTATGGCAAAGTAAAGCATGCAAGAGTACATTTTTTTACGTTTAACAAATCAAGTAAATATAATAGTTACCATCCGTGTGCAGAATAAATTAAGCGGCTGCTTTAATAATAAAACCGGTTAGTTTCTCTTTTTCTTTCTAAAACAAATTCAAAACTTTTCTTCATTCGCAGGAGTTGGAAACTTCAAATCAGCTGTGTCACTTGCTACCAAATATGCAACAGTTTTGCAACTGAGTGCTCTCTTACATTTGCATATTTCAGTAAAGGATTTTTGCAATCCGTGCACCGTGCTACGTCAAGAGAATACCCTATTATTTTTTGTTTCATATATTTGCCTAGCTATTTTCTGTCCGTTAAACCTTGTATGTAAGTTATGTCAGTGAGTGTTTTATTTTAATTTTTAGTTTTTAAATTGGTGCTTGCGCCTTCTCTTTGTTAATTGTTGCTGTTACCGATACATCACGTCAGCAGTGTCTGGTTATTGTACTGATATCCGACAAAGATTTCCAACTCACATTAGAACGAGTGTAATTCAGTAGAATTAGTTTTTAGAGACAAACATGTCAAGTTTTGTGTCAACAAATTACGATTTGCGGACAGCACTACTTTTCTGTTTTCATCTGAAGGAAACCGCAGCCAAATCGCATCAAGCGAATGAGCATGCTCTCGGTAAAACATAGTCTTTCGAGTGGTTCAAGAAGTGGCGATTTTGACGTCAAATATCAGAAGGGGGTAATCTTCTAAGACCTGCTGAAACCTGTGAAAGCTGTCAGTACTCAACGCAACCGACCACAAATGACCGATTTGGATCGAGTTTTGAACGAAAAAGGTCCAGAATACCAATAAAGACAATGCAAGGTGATTTTGCTGCATGACAATGCACCAGCACACAAAGTAAAACAGGTTAAGGAAACGATAAAGCCGTTCCGTTGGGAAGTTCTCAAGCACGCGACTTACTTACAGGACCTTACCCCATCCGATTATTACTTGCTTGCATCGATGGGACGCACTTTCTAAACAGCGCTTTACTTCTTACGAAGATGTACGAAAATACCTCGATGACTGGTTTGGCTCAAAAGGGCGCGGAATCCACAAGCTGTCAGAAAGATGGGAATATGTATAGATAACAATGGACAAATGTGTTTTTTTCTGTACAAAAATTCCGGTTCCATACTTGCACACCTGGTATTATGTTCCTAATATATTTCATGTTCTCTTCTCCTGATCGCTGAATTTATTTTTTTTCGATTAGGTTCATGACAGTGTTTTTCTTTTGGTATCCTGGATGATTTTAGTAAAATTTTATTATCGTTGATGAGGACACTTCTTTCGAATACCAATAAAGTTCAATCTGTTTGTTTCCCCGGTAAATTTCAACATCTAGGAAGGCTAGCTTTTTATTTTTTCCCTCCTCAGTAGTGAATATACAATAAATTTTGAATGTTATATGTTAAATATTTCGAGGACGTGGAGGACGTATGTTATCTCTATTATGGCAAAAAAAATTTATATATAATATATTAGGTACAGTAAGAAGTTCATTCGGTTCTTATCTAAGAGAAGGCGTTATTATCCATAGTACTAGTGTTACGTGTCGCTACATGTCATTCGCGCTAAGCGTTTGTCTTTGACAGTTTTTCGATTGATTGACTCAGTACGTTGTGAGCGATTGTCATAGATGGACACCAGCAAAGAGAAAATTCACTATAATATATTTTACAGATTTTCTTCGATTAAGGCGAAAAAGGAGTCAAAGCGGCTGAGAAAATTTAATTTAGTTTATGGGCCCATTACTGTAAACGAACTGTAAACGAACGTGTGGCACAAAAGTGGTTTGCTAGGTTCCGTTCCGGTAATTTCAATGTCAAATATTTACCACGCGTCGCGAAGTCTGTCGTCGAAAATTGCTTTTAAATCATGGAAATTGTGGAAACAGAGTATCACATAAGCGCTTATTTAATTGCTGAGGAACTAAAGATAAGCCAGAAAACCGTTTGGAACCATTTGCATAACCTTGGATTCAAAAAAAAACTCGATGTTTGAATGTGACACGAACTAACGCAAAAAACATGATGGCCCGAATTTCCATCTGCGACTCACTGCTGAATCGCAACAAAATCGTCCCGTTTCTGAAACGTATTGTGAAGCTCGGGGAAGCGGCCCAGACGGTGGCCAAGACCACATTGACGGCCAGGCAGGTTTT